CAACTCATTTGTTATACTTTGTTTATCCTGATGTACTGAACTCTCTGCAACTCATTTGTTATACTTTGTTTATCCTGATGTACTGAACTCTCTGCGAGTCATTTGTTACACTTTATTTGTCCTGATGTACTGAACTCTCTGCAAGTCATTTGTTACATTTGTTTCTCCTGATGTACTGAGTAAAAGGTGCGGTGAACTGGGGGCTTTAGTCTTTGCTGCCCAGAGCAGCACTGATCAGGTCCAAAGCTCAGCTTCTTCTCCAAGTCTCATTTTTCTACTTTTCCTGTATAATAAGTTAATTCACCTTGTGCTGCTGTTGCTCGCAGGAGAGTAGGACTCACTGCAGAGGTTCTAGTAATGTCCCCTTTCCCTGTTCCCTACAAAGCAGCTTACATCACATGGCTTCATTTAATTCTACCCATACTAGGCTGGTGGTCTTATAGAACTCAGATCACTGGTTTGTGGTTACATAGAACAGGGCTCCTAAGCACTGAGGTTTTACGCATCACCATTATTGCCTGACTAGGAAGTAAACGATGGAACTGGCGACCGAGCAAGCGATCTGGGAGAGTGGACTGATTTCACACGGTGCAGATATAGTCCCTGAGTTTACTATGGCTGCTGTAGCAAGGACTTCAAATGTAAAACAGAAACGTACTATTTTACACTGCTAAAGTCCAGAGCTAGCTCCCTGTAGAGGTCCTTGGGTCAAATCTCACTTTCTGTCTTTCCTGGCTTGTAGAAGCTATCTGCATCCCATGGTTCATGGCCCCCATCATTCCAGTCTCTGTTTCTGTCTTCACAGCTTCTCCAATTCTGATCTTATCTTCCTCTTATACAGGCCCTTGTGATTACATTGGGCCCATCTGGATAATTCAGGAAATCTTCCCCATCTCAGGATGCTTGTCACATCTGTGGAGTCCCATTTGCCGTGTCACACAGGTTCTGATGATTAGGATGTGGATGTCTTTGGGGGCCATTCTGTCTGCCACATAATGGCAAATGAAGGTGTCATCTCACATAAGACAGGCAGCCCTTGCCTGTGGCTGTCTGAGGACAGTGTGTCAGTCTGTCTTATCTCATAGATGAGAATGCTCTGCAGAAAGTCCCAACACTGCACTGTTTGGTTAATTCTTTTTCTCCCAATTTGACTCCAGATCTAAGGAACTACAGGCACAGCTCATGTTGAGTCAGCACTACTATTTGTCAGTAGATTATTTGGTTACTTTAATTTTGTTTATATGAAGGATGGGGAGTAGTTTGTGATTTGCTTTTAACATACTTGAACAAGTAGGTAATACACTGAATGGGGATGTGTGCCTCTTGAACTTTGAAATATGGTGTGCATTTATCTGCTAGTTCTGTAACATGGCATAGATGCTACTTTTTGGTTAAAACAAGACTTCCCTCCAATTGTAATCGATAAACTCTGGATCAGTATTTCTTTCCCAGCTGTGATTTTTGCCTGCAGAAGACATTTGGCAAAGTCTAGAGTCATTCTTTTGGTTATCACAGTGGGAGGAGTGCCATCACATCTAGTGGGTAGGAACCAGGAATACTGCTAAAATCCTACAATACACAAGAAAGCCTTCCTATGCTAAAGAATTATTTGGTCTAAAATGGCAGTAGTGCTCAGGTTGGGAAACCTTGATTTACAGCATTGTGAATTAAAGCACACAGGAAGGCCAGGTGACCCTGCCAAACTGAGGTTGCAGGTTCTTTTGAGAGAAGCCATGGACCAGTGGACTAGACAGGGATTTAACAGGGGGTTCCCGTTCCTCAATAGCCACCATTGGTGGGGCAAAGTTCTCTATATGTCCCAAGCCAACTGGAGGCTGTGTGTAAGTGTAGTAGAGATCAGAACAAGT